TGCCCTGCATGTCCCCGTGTGCCCTGCATGCCCACAGAACTCGACTGATCAATTGCTTATGTTTCAGTGCCAGATACCACAGGAAACATTCTAGGCACTATATCCATCTCTGTCATATATATCTGGGTCAGGGCTGTTTTGGTGGTACTTTGGGAACTTAAACAATATTAAGCTTGATTTAAACTTCTGCAGGAAATGTATCACCTAATTTGCGTGGTATCCTAACACTGCAATCTTCCATGCCATTCAAATTGTTGTGGTATGCATGTAGTTTACCCGACGTAGTTATATTTCTCAGGTTCACGTCAGCATAGGGTTAAAATGGGGTTCCAGTTACGACATAGATCTGACGCAGGTTGGAATGTTGGTTTAACTTGTGTAACTGTGGTTGTGTGCAGTGCAATACGTGATGCTTTCAACCTTTGACAACAGCGTGCAGGCTCTCATTCTGGTCTCCTCCATCCCACCAACATCTGCTGGGCTAATGTTGTCAAGCAGCTTAGTCAGCAGGGGGAAAAGCACCTGACAGCCAACAAAGAAACACGAATGAAAAGTGAACAAAGGTGTCTTCACAGTCCTGAAATAACGCAGACATTCAGCATTTACCTTGTTGAAACAGGACTCCCATTCAATTGCATCAAGTGTCTGCAGATCATGAACAAGCAGCGCCCTCTGGAGGTAGGTGAGGGCCTGCATGCGAACCGGTCGCCTGGCATCACAGCACAACCAAGCAATCCCTGTGGGAGTGACATTGAGTGGAGCTGTGACGAAGACACTGATATGAACATAAACTGCATGACAGAGCTGAAGCAGAAATCTGAGAGAAAACTAAACGTGTGGAAAAAAGAAAATGGCACCTAAAAAAGACTAGAAACAGTAACACACGTACACTGAAAGAGCAAGCGTGAGAGATCCTTTATAACAACACAGATCTACCAGAAATTCAAATTCTTGTAGAAAGCATGTTGTAAGACAATATTCAAGACTGTGCATTTGGTCTACATTAAGAACAGAAACAAAAAAAGTTTATTCTATGACAAAAAATACATCAAGTACTTCAGACATGTTGTAGTATACACAACACCTAAGATCAGGAATGTCCACCACCAGCCTATCAGACTGAACGTCAGCTGAAGTCAGATTACTGAGGACTATCTCAGCTCCAGGAGGGAGCACGTCACTGATCCTGCTAAGAATTCCCTGAGTATCTGAACAGGGACTCGTTTTCCATAATGAGGGAAAACAAAGTCTGGTCACAATTCTTCACAAGACACATTTAAATAAATACATTTTCAAGTTTTGAGTTAAGACATTTTGCGCAATTGATAAATTTCTAATTTTTAAAACGTTAAATAAGACTTCTGAATTTCCTAAATGCTGATCTTTATTACCAAAACCCCTTTGTTAACTTAACTGCCAAGAAGACTTACTACAAGCCATATTTACACACACACTCTGAATGTGTGCACGACAGTCAGAGAGCACAGAAGAGTTTCCTACCTTGCAGCAGGGGGCACCAGCAGCTGGTCCACAAAGTCTGAGAATCAGCCTCGATCTTCCTGCTGGAGGCCTCCAGATGGCACTGCTCCTCTGCCCAGGAGTTGTAGATGCTGGCAGCCCGGGTGTGCAAGGTGTGCATCAGATCTAAGAGCTGCACCCCCCCCCCAAACACAAACACCAGCATTAATAATAAGGAGATGTGCAGCTTTGTGTCTGCAGTTCAAACGTGACGAATAAAACCACGTACAGACTATTTAGATGTTTACTCAGTTTCTGCTAGCAGCAAGGATGCAGTGAGTTAAAGGTCTGTGACAGTAAACAGTTTGATCAATCACATAAGAGACTATATATGTTATACAGACAATTCCACTTGAATAATAGGGAGATTATTCATAGTTATGCTTTAATATAAAAGCACTGCTCTTCTTGTTAATAGTTTATTTGGTCAATGCATTTTAAACCAGTTTATACAGAACTTTAGCTAATAATTAATTTCATCATGAACTAATATGCTGACTATTCTTTCCATGAATTCACAGGAAAATATTTCAAAACTACTGGTGAACACAACAAAGTGGTTTAAATGTTTGTCTGAACAGTTACAGTTACTAAGTTCTTCACAAGCTGCTCTTCATGTGCCGTTAGTTGGTAATGACATCAGCAAATGTGATCAAGGAAAACACACCATGTTTGTCCGAGAGGAGGTGGAGTGTTGAATAAAACAAAATAAAGTCAAATTTGTACGTAAGTATTGTAGTTACCACTGGGTACAAAACAAGGCTCTTTAAAATAAGAGAAGAATTTTAAGCCGTGTTAGTTTAACAGCCATAGCAGCAGGTGAAGCAGTGAAGATGGTTTTGTGTAGGAAAAGAAGGAGACGGGTCAAAGCACTGACATCTATATCCACGACGCATGTTTACTTCCTGTGTGTGTGTGTGTGTGTGTGTGTGTGTGTGTGTGTGTGTGTGTGTGTGTGTGTGTACATTAATTTGATGTTAAATCCAGACCAACAACACAAAAATGTTCAAACGTCCATCCAACTCTGAACATGCTGACTTAGGCTACGTCCACACGTACCCGGGTAATTTTGAAAACGCAGATTTTTCTATGCGTTTGCACCTTTCGTCCACACGTAAATGCCGTTTTCGGTCACTGAAAACTGAGATTTTTAAAAACTCCGGCCAGGGTGGATATTTTTGAAAACTCCGTTTACGTGTGGATGAGAAAAACGCAGAAAGCGCAGCATCAAAGGTGTGCGCCTTTTTTGACGTCACACTGTGCGCCACGTTATTGTTTCGGTGAAATGAATTTCTACAATACTGTTACTGTTAATTGTCTCTGCAGTGTTTAAATGCTTACATATACACACACAGTTACTGTCCCTCCACACATACGACTCGGTTCTGCTTCTATGCCCCAGCTTTGTTTACTTTTCCCACCGAGGCTTCTAGACTTCTGATTGGCCAACATTTCTGCACGGTTAGGAATATAGCGCCACCTGCTGCTTTGGCATGTTCCTAGCAGCGTTTCCTTCATTTCTGCCTTTACGTGTGGACGGGATTATTTTTAAAACAAAAACGGAAAATCTCCGTTTTCAAAAATACCCGTGTACGTGTGGACGTAGCCTTAATGTGGAGTTGACACTCAGGTCTGTTACATAGAAAAACGGACCTACGGAGATGACAGCTGACATGGATTTACAGCTGAGTCCTGATGCAACACTTTAGAAGCTGCACCTAAAACTCCACCTGTGACCCAAACCAGGCGTCTAACATGACACTGCAGTCAGTGGGAGGAGCTTCAACTGAATCAGAGACGTGTGGGTAAAGCGAGATGCTTTTGGGACAGCTGGGTTCTCGTCATTAGAGGGGTAAGGAAGGGTAAAGAGGGCTGTTGTACTTACGTCCTGACTAACCTGTAATGACACCGTGTGGTAACTGGCTGGGACACCCTCATCCTCCTCATCATCACTGTAGGAACGCGATGGGCGCTGGCTGAAGGTCCTGCTGCTGCTCCGCCTCACGCTGCCTCCGCTGTCCTTCTCCCTGCCGCCTGCCTTCTTCCTCATCCGAGACTTGGAGGTGTCATATTTGTGGCTCTTCTTCTTGTCGTGGTTGCGGTAACCTGGAGGAGGAAACAGATCTAATCTCCTCTGAAATCTACCAGAAGCATGTGCGTCTGAAATATTTGCCCTTCCTGCTTAAAGGGTTTAAAACATGCTATAACAATGGGACAGTTAAAGCCACAGGCAGCTAAAAGAGCCCTCGCAGCTTTAGAAATAAACTGGTGATGTGTCCTCTTTCTATATGACTGACCTGCTAGATTTACCTCAGTGTGTTTAGTAAGTAAACAAAGTCTAATAGTTCTTCTGATAAGACCGAGCAGACGTTAGCGTCTCACCTCCGTTGAGGCTGGCCTCCACAAACACTCGTATCGCTCTGACACACAGCTCGAAGTTGTCAGGCGTGACGTGGGCGGCATCTCGAACGATGAAAGAAAGCGTCTCCACACACTTGATCAGAGACTTCGTGTCGTGCTGGCCGAGGTCCTGACCCAGTGTCAGACTGTACTGGTTGACCAGTGGGTGATTCAGCTGAGCCTTCGACCCGACTGTGGGGGTCTTACTTATCTCAAAGTCATCTTTGCCAACCTGTGGGGGGGTAAAGAAACATCTGGAATAAAACAAGCATCCATGCTCTTTCCATACATTAAGCTTTCAAATAAAACCAGGAGAAGAAACATGTGCTTTATATATGACACTGTTACAGTTTCAGTAACAACATGCTGTTACTCATGAAGCAGGTGTGAGTGTGTGCTAACCACGAGCCATCCACTGCTGGCCACATCCACGTCCGTGGCCGAGCGCGGGATCCTGGTCTTGCTGTGCTCGGTGTAGACCTCTGAGTCCGACGTGTAGCCTCGGTCCAAACTCACTTCACTGGGATGATGAGACGACAGCTCACTGTCTGACTGGGCACCTGCAGTCAGTGCCAACAAAGATGTTCATGTAAACTCCTAACATGTTTTTATGTCTATCTGCTCTCAGAGGCTTGTAGCTGCACCTGTGTCATTGTCAGCTGTGGCCGAGGTCAGCTGGAAGGCGACAGGAGGCTTCACTCCAGCTCCGATGCACTCCAGCAGGGAGAAGAGCGTGTACCAGTCGTCTGTACAGTGGATGTTGGCTGCGTTCGTCTTCAGCAGCTCGTGAAGGCCATAAGCCACCTCCCTGCTGACCCGGGAGAGGACATGAGGCTTCATCATCAGCAGGAGGCGGAGGGAGAGAAGAACCTGTGGGCGCACAGCGAGAGAGCACTGTTTAAGCCAGGGGTCGGCAACCCTCGGCACGAACGGTTAGCTGATGGCACGACCGTAGCTGGACTGGCCGTCGGCCATTTTTCATCCATTTTTAATGGGCCGATGATTTATTTATTTATTTGTAACGGTATAAACAATGAGAGGTGGTGGATTGTCCCGATGCTGCCGATGTGGAAAAATAACTCAGTGGTTTGGTGGTGGCAATGGTGGAGCTCCAACAGAGGCCAGCAGGTGGATGAGAGAAGCGGAGTTTTTCCATATTTCTAACATGTCAACTTATTTTGTTGTGATTTATTATCAGCCAGACCCATATTTGCTTTAAATGACAGATTTATTTAAGACGGAGTGATTTATGTAAGTCTGGGATGGTACGTGTTCATGGCCGCTCATAGTTCCTACCTGCCCGATCTTCTTTTCATTGATATGATGCTGGTGAGCTGTTGACTAAATAACGTGTTAAAGCTATAAATATGACTATTACCAAACTGTACTGTCACTAATAGGGCTGCTTTGTTAATGTTCTTTTATTTTGTGTCTGTCAGTTGATTGCCTGGCTTCTGTAAAGGCACGGTTACTGTTAGCTTATGCTTGTGCAATAAAGGCAGCAATCAGATGTCCGAGCCTGAGCACGACACAGTTTCATCAGTTAAAACTCATGGTGGGAGTTTACTAAATTAAAGGTAGTTAGCTTAGTAAAAACCGTACAGGGAGGCAGGAGGAGCAGAGACCCGAGGCGGCCGCCGGTCCGAGTGTCAGGTGAACTGAACTTCAGGTAAGAATCAGCTGTTGTTAGCATTTATTTAATATTACTTTCTAGTATCAGCTGATGTTTGCTGGAGCCACAGCTGTAAAGCTGCTGGCCATGATGTTTGGATATGTGGTGAGAGGGAAACATGAAACCAGGAGATGTCCTTACTGAATCATCAGAGCTGTGATGGAGAAACAGGTTTACCTGACATGGATGAGTTGAAGTTATGAACTGTTTCTGAGAGACA